AAGAGTGCATGTCTGTGTACTTTTTACAGGGAACTTCCCTCCGTGCCATACAGAGGTAGGCAGCGTCGACTCAGTATTTATTCAGGGCGGGGCAGGACGTGTCACTTTCCCCCCCAATACCTCAAAACGCCATATTTGTCACAAACATTTAAGGAGGACCGGCCTCATTAAGCGACCTACTTGACACGCCTCTAGAGGGCGCCGTTTCTCTTCTTTTCATTCTTCTGTGCGGCGATTAACCTCGTACAATTGGACTTATTTCCGCCACCTGCTGGGCTGGAGTGAGTGTACGGTACAGGACTTTATTCTGCAATATTGCAAAAACAGAGTTTGTACAAGTTCTAAAGTCAATATTTCATATGACTACCTTTATTCTTAACACGGGCTGAACTTTCTTATTCCTTGTTTCCCTTTGTCAAGACAGTCACCTTGCCACTGAGACCATTTCTGATGAGGAGTCAGGAACAGCATATGGATAAACTGTAGGGTTAAATTCACCTCTTAGTTCCTGTATCCTGTGCAAATCTTTTTCCTTTTTCAGATTACTTTGAAAATCTGCTGTTGATTTTTTTTTAAATGGTTCCTAAGTCACTTAACAAACAAACAAACAAAACGTGTGTGAAAACGGTAAGGTACAAGGACTTGACTGAAAATGACAAGCAGCCAGTGTCCAGTGAAACACTCTAAATGATGGAGAACTATTTCACAGGACCACTTTAAAAATTACAATAAGGTAACTTCTTGAAAGTAAAATATGATGAAATATGCAGTGGCTCAAGACCTCCGCACAGAGCTCTAGCTTAACCATTAATTTTCCTGTAACTTATCTAACATCACATTAACTGAAGTTGGATAAAGTTAAACTTTGATTTGTATTAATGTTTAACCCTGTACCCATTTCTTCAAGAGGCTTTGCCTTTTCCCAGATGCCATTTGGGGACAGAGAGAGATTGAAGTCCTCCCAGTTTCTCATCACATCTGAGGGTAAAAGGTCTTAATATCCAGCCTTTTATGTTAAAAGTGATGCAGAGTGCTGCAAGAGACTTTTTCTATATGTGCTTTTGAAAAATATAGTAAATCATCTTTATTCTTAATCAAAGATATAATAAAAGCATAAGCCTGATTAATTTGCTGAATGAGAAATGCAGTTTGAGTAATTAAAACTGTTCTAATGTCTGGATTATGTAGACATGATCCAGTTTGGACTTTGGAAAATAATGGTTCTAATGACAGGCCTCTGTCACACTGAGAGTCTGACTTTGGTGTGAGTGAGTGAGTGAGGGAGGGAGGGAGCAAAGTTGAAGAGCCACTGATCTAAAAGAATATCTGATTTTAACATGACTGATTTGATAAAAGAAATTGTACTGAGTATAGTGTGATCAATAAACACTGAGTTTGAAGTGAGAGAAAGTATTCCTTTGTATTTGAATTAAAAAGGGATTTGCTAAAAATGGATGTACATATGAGATTAAGCTAATTGAAATAAAATTACATAAACCGAATGAAACATGAAGTGAAGTGTATTTATATTTGATTGAATGTTCATATGTAATAGAAATTTCAACACAAAGAATAACAAAGCAAAGAAGAAAATATAATTAAGTGATTTTAAAGTTTAAACTTTGCTTTAAATCATGCATGTGGAAAAGTCAGAGAGAGGATGATAAGGTGTGACTGGACACCGGGTGATTAGTAGTCAACAACAGTATATGGATGTCAGATTGGGTGAGGCCAGATGTCATCTCAGAAAATGTGATGTCCAGAAAGAGAAGGGATGACCGGGTATAAAAATCTTGTGCAGATGAGATGAAGATTTCTGCCCTTTGTAAGATGTTCACGGCCGAAAAGTGCTGCAGAGACGCCAGAGGATTTAACAGCTGCCCAAACTATTAACCTGCAAATTGGTCTTGTATTTTTTGCCTTTTCCTCTGCTCATTTTTGCGGTGTTATATTATAGAATCAAGAGGACTTCACAGAGCACAGAGATAAGCACAACTTCAGATCTGGATGTGCCTGTTCTCTCCAACTTTTCTCCTCACAAAGATCAGACAAAAGTTAGCATTAGCTCAGAGTAGGTTCATTAGATAAGTATAATTCAGATGATTTGATTCCCCTTTGATTTGTTCCTGCTAAATTGTTCTAATAAAAAAAAATCTAAGGAGTGGACATTCCCTTTTTAACCCTTTGTGAAACAGTAAAGGTTAAAACCTGAGTATTAATCTCCATTAGTATAAATAGCTCGTACAGGTTACTCCAGCCCTTTAAAAGTAACTGACCCCTGGAGCTTAGTTTTCCAACCTGTTATATTTAACACAGTTAGTTACCAAGTGCACTAATCTACAGGGCAGTTGTCGGAATTGGTGTGGCTGGTAAGATACTGACCGGGCATGTAAAACTACTCAGAGTCTGGTTTTTAAATTGTGGAGGCAGGGTAGACACCTGGATGACTTTTGAGGCAATTAGAACTGAGCGAGTCCCCTCAACCATCTGCCCCATTTAAGCTCTGTATTGCCGACTGGGTAATACTCATAGGATCAGAGATTAGGATTAGTTAGAGAGCGGATCCAGACTTCCTGTATTGGAGTGCTGGTCCCAGAGATAGACAAATGTTCTTTTGAGTGTTTAAATAAAAGTTGCATTGTCTCACTATACCAGTAGAATTGGTCATCTATCAAACTGAAGGTTGATGGGTCAGTTCCCCAGCTACTCCAGTCTATATGTCGAAATGTCCTTAAGGAAACCACTAAATCCCAAGTTGCCATCTATCGGAATGTGCATTGTCACGGATTCAAATATTGGGGATGGATACAAGAGGAAAACCAAAATAACAACACTGGTCCGGCCGGGTT